TATATACTCATAGACGTCCACTTATTCATATATGTATTAAGCTACCTATTACATACTGCAGCGACATCAGGCTGCTTCAACGACTCAGGTTCGCCTCGGCTTACCTTTTTCCTAAATGTATTTTTCCCATTTTCCGCACGATTCCACAGTGTGCATTCAAAGACATTGCCGTATATACAAGCGCGATAAAATAGCTCCCTTTTGGTCAGAACACACACACACATACATACATCCGATCACACACACTCACACACCTCCAGAGCACATGTGAAAGAAGGCAGTTCAAATAAATCAGTGAAGTAGAACGATGCCATAAAAACAGCAATAATTCATAATGAAAATCGATTCGATTCACTTTGGCCAAGCTGAAGGCATAAATCATATAAATTTTTAGTTACTTACCCAGTCAAAGCTTAAACCAACCCAGTATAGTATTTATAAGTGCACACATTCACACATACACACACACACACACACACACACAAACACACACACACATTCATTTATGTTGGCGAACTCTCAAAATCGTTTAGTCCAATCTTTTTGGGCCATCATTAGACTAATACATATGTGTATGATTTTTCAGAAATTCTTAGCAGTAATATTAATTATCCAAAATATTTCACTATGCACATGTGTAGAACGTAATCAGGAAATCAAAAGTCCTTAACTAAAGAGTCATAAATAATGATTTATCGATTGAGTGAAAATTCCAATTTTGAAATGATTCAACATATTGGCTTGCTAGGGCAATATGAGAAAACTCTACCAAATACAGAAACCAGAAAAATTCCATACATTGTTCAACATAATTTAGTTCAGCAAAAGTTACCACAGCATACTTGTGTGTGCATTGTATATGCATGAGAGTGCGTGTATGTGTAAGAGTTGTGTGTATGCTTGTACAGCGCAATTTGTCACATTTATGAGGTCGTTAGGTCTTCGCATGGAACAAAGTTGGCAACTTTAGTGGAGCCATTGCTGGGGTTAATTTTTCATTGAACCATATCCTTCAAAAATAGCTTGTGCTACAAGGCTGGCCGCCCGTTGCGTTTCATTGCGCACATCAATTGGAACTAAGACGATGACTTTATGTCTCATGTGTGATGTGTGACATGCGGTCATGAGTAACCGCAAAGGACACACGGCCCGGGACATGATACTCACGCTTCATTTCCGGTGGCTTCTTAAAACGGAACTAAATTGTACCCTAGCCACAATCTCGACCTTTGACTCATTGCAGTTAAGCCAGCTAACGACAGTTGCCAAGTGCGGTTGCGGCTCAACCGTAGAGCACTAAACGAGCATTGCGTATACGCTCGAACGAAAATAGTAGCGAGTATAAACAAATTATTATGCCTCACAGCTTGCACTCGTACATAAGCTGCTCTTATCGACACACACAGAGATACACAGACAATTGAATTCCTGAGAGAGTAAAACCTCAAAACGCAATTAAGGCTCTTGCACATATCTGTGTGCGGTGCTCGATTTATTGAATACCTAACTAATTAACCATAAATTGAAATGTTTGACACATACTTAACCATCTATTGCCTATGTGCGGTATATTCTGCCCAATAGGATTTTAACTTGACTAACCTCACAATAGTTAGCCAATAGCTTAAGAATGAAATTTAACTTGACAGAGAAGCTAATAATTTGAATTTGAATCATATATCATATTTTAAAAGCATAAACGGAACATTAAAGGCTCTACTACTAGTTTACTATTATTATTTAAAATTCTTTTTATATAACTCATGTCACTTGTCATGGCTCTCCATGACGTGCGTAGGGCACAAGTCATCGCCAATGTCTACATTTGATTGCTTTGACGTTGGAAATGGTCATAAACTTCAACATTTAAAAACATATAAAACTCTAAAAGTCTTTGACCACATATATTTATTTTCCACCCCCCACCGAGCTGTAGTTTGTGATATTTGAGCTTTTTGCAAACAAGACGTTTTCTTTTGACTTGAATTCTTCATAAGTTTGTTGATAGATTTTCTTGCTTGGCAAAATGTTCAATGCATTTTGAACTTCAGTTCACTTCTTTAATTTAACATAGAAAATTCTGAGCTAGCATTTTGTAATATTAAATATTATGAACTTTTACATACAAAAGAGTACATATTGGCCATGATATCAAACATGTCTGACTCCTCGACACAAATCCTCTTGCCTCTTTACACATTTTATATTCAGAATATATTTTCAAGCTAAGTAGATCAATTTCTTATTTAAAAGTTACAAATAAGCTGCTTTAAAAATCGATATATGATGCCGGCCCGCGACCTAACGACATTTAAAGCTGTCTCGGTGACTATTTGCCTGCCACTCACATTTGACTTTAACACTGCGTTTCTCATTTATTTTTTGCTTCTCTTATTTGCTCGTGGTAATTAAATGTAAGCCCACAGGAAAAGGTTTTTATTTTTATTTTTTTATAGTTGATTTTGTGAGAATCATCCATTAAGTAATTGCTGAATTAAATCCATCTCAAAGCAATTTAAAGCGCTTAATCGGATTATAATTATTCACCTATGTAGAGCTCTCACTGGCCGAGCAATTGCTTAATTCAATGTAAACAGAGTCTGCAAATTGCGCAACAACACGAATGCTGCATGCAACATTACAGACATACATTTGTACATATGTATATGCAACCTCTGAATGGTGCTGCCGGTTTTATGCGCCTGTGGAATTGTCAAGGCTTATACAAAATGCATTCATAGCTTAATCTTGTAGGCGGACAGAGATTTACGACCTGCAGCTGAGGTGGCGCCACGCTAGTACCATCGTCGCATTGCACTGTTGTTGTCTTGGCTGTTTTGTTCGCATTGGCAAGGATGCGGCTGCAGCTGCCATATGCGCCCAATAATCTATCAATGGCACCCTCATCGACCCCCAGCCACAACCAGGACACAGCCCACACACACCTTCCAGCACGATATCTTACTTCTGTGTGTATCTCTTTTCTTACAGTACGCCCTGCTGCAGACTGTGGTGGATGCCTGCCAAAAGAAGAGGCACTGCAAGTTCGCTGCGAATTCCAAAACGCACACAAGCACCGATCCCTGCTCGGGCATTCGAAAATTCGTCGAGATTGCCTACAAATGCCGTCCATGTAAGTATGCCAGCTCTTTTACCAGGTCAGTCCAGCCCCACCCATACACTGGCTCTTCATCCCCTTCACAAAAAAATAAAAGCGACTATACGCTACCGAGGCGACCAGGTTGGCGCTTTTGTCCTTGCCGCGTTAACCATACCATGATATATTTTATTTGCGCAGCGGCAAAAATAAATATTTGCCAGATGCAAAAGTGCCAAACATCAATTTAAGTTCTCAGGCAAACAAACAAATTTATTTTTACCAAAAGAAATAAGCCGTCATTTATTGAAGCCATGTGCAGATAACCTTCAAGCGCTGCAAAAAATATATTGCAAAAATCTTCTTAAAAGTTACAGAAGTTTTAAGGATTTTTTGTATATTTTTTTTCTTCTAAATTCTTAGTACATAAATTGGAGCTAAATCAATTTATATTTAAGGCAACGCTTATGTGTGCAATGAAATATCAAATCCCTTTATATAATAATCTATTTATTTGAAATATTTCACTTCTGCAAGAGATGGGAAACGAAGTGTTTGTAGGTCTTATTGAAGCCAAATATAAGTGGGCACAAAATGGTTGTAGGATAAGTTATTATGCAGAGAAAGCTACTTACAATAAAAGCTTACAAGCCAGTGAGCAGAATGACCATTAAATAATTCACATTTCAGACTAAGGAGATATTTAAACAATTATTCATGCACAAGTTATAAGCATTAAACTCTTATACAGAAGTCAATTAAGCCCTGACCAAACAAGTATTTACAGACAGTAGAGAAGGGCCCCCTTCACAGGTCACACATAACTAGCACCTGCATTTATATTAATAATGATCCAAGTTGAACGGACTGCACAACAGAAGGCACAATCATAATATACTAAAAATCTCTCATCTCACACTTGCGCAATGGTGGCAAAACACAGAAAAAAAAAAATAAAATAAAAAAATAAAAAAAAAAAAAAACAACAAAATTAATGAGCACTTCAACTCAAATAGAAGTTCGAGGCGATAAGAGTGGGCGGCAATGAGAACTGGGAAATGGAAAATGTGAACTGGGAACTGGCTGCAAATTCAGCTAGAAGCATAATGAAAAATGCAGCTGCGCTTTTGCGTTGTTTTTTTGCTTTTGCCTTTGCTTTAGCTTTAGCGAACATTAAAAATAGTTGAATAAACTTTTTGCTGAGTTATTTGCATAGTTTTGCACTGTGCATTTTTTAGCGTGGCATCGCGATGGGCGAACGCCACCGGCGATTGGGCTAATGACACTCGATTATTTACGATCCACTAAGCAATTCATGTTTAATCGTAATCACTCGACAAACATAAGCCGATAAGCGAGCAGATGAACCACCTAAGTGCTGCTTCTCACTCCGGGGCACTTGACTTTCAGATTCAGATTCCAATTCACCTGGAACAAAGCGGCGTCGAAATGGTGCTGTTGCCAATGGCTGCAGCCATTGGATGAAAGTCGTTAAACGAGTTCTTAATGCCTCGCTCAGACGGTTCAATTCGACGGTATTCGGATTCTAGCTGCCAGTGCACACAAAGCCCTATGCATTCCATGTAATTCTTTGGTAATTTGCGTCAGCCTTTTATCCATTTCCAGCATTTTTGCAACTTTGCTAGAATACTTTTTACTACACTCGAGACAGGCATTATTCCTTTGCTACGAAATGCGTAACATAGCGGACAAGATACAAAAAGCAATCGCAATAAGTGTTTATATTCTTGACCAGACTCGAATTGCTGAAGTCGCAGGCATCTGCTTCTTAACTTCAAATATATCCTTTTATTTTGAAGAAAATGGACTACATATTTTCATCATATATGATATATATGCATATGGAAAACGCACTTGAATGTAGCTTGAAAATATTCATTTGTTTTTGAATCGGCTGTCAATTTTATAAAATATTTATGCGACTAAGGATCGGATCAATATCATTCTAGCATATAAAAATAAAAAATATATATTTTTTAGATCTTAAGTTACGACATCTCAGGGTATTTACGCTTCGCATTAAAAAAGGGAGTTGTTCAATTCCATTTTTGTTTTTATGCCGGCTTTTTTTATTTTTGTACTTTTTTTTTTTTTTGACAAGTGACGCAGATGTTATCTTGTTAAAAAGCACACAAACACACCAAAGAAGTGAAGCAAACAGGACAGAGACAAAAGAGGAGCGCCGCATTCAAATTAGAAAAGGGAAATGCACAGCGGGTTGAAAAAGGGCAACTTGTACTTGGTCCGCATAGCTGAGTACACTGAAGCTAGCTGGCACATGGTAGCCTAGAGCGGGGGCTTTGCTGAGGTAATATAATTAAGGAGAGCCGAGTTTTTTTTTCTAAATTGTCTGTTATCTTTTGCTCATTATGGACACCAGCGACAAGTAATAAAACTGCAAAGTACGAGTGGAAAACGTTGAAAAATTACGGCCTGGTTATGTGAGTGGGAGCAAAAGCTACAGCAGGCCCCCAGGCTTGAAGCCCATGCCCATGCCCATGCCCATGCCCATGCCCAAACGAAGCTCGAGGCAAGCAATGCACAGCACGGCAAGCCCAGCTGGCGCATGGGCCATGGGCAGGAAGGCAGCCGGAGAGGCGCGTGCCAGACGGCACATTGTGGTCATAAAAATATGGCAATTTTTAACTTTTCTCACGTCTCTCCATAATAAAACGTGCACTCGCACTCTTAAGAGGAGCAAGGAATCACAGTACCCAATACGAGACCCGTGCACGTATCATGTGGGAGTCAGATCCGCAAGGCCGGGGCAATGCAGCAAATGCCAGAGGCCCAGGCCTGTAAACAGGCTATGCAAATATTTACCAAATTTATTAAAGTTCATCTCGGACCGAGCTTTCACCACAGACATTCCTCTTCCTATGCATCAAATGTACATCTATGAGTATGTATGCATGTACATAAATATGTATCTAAATGTGTGTGAGCATGTACTTGTGTATGTACATACATTTCATATATTTGTTATGCGAAACATTTTAAGGTGGCAGTCAAAGTGCACAGCAGAAGAAAAAGAGCGCCGCCAGCCCAATTCATAATTGCTTGAGGTTCGTCCTTTCTGCTTGCTCTGGGCGAAACCAGCAAAAAGGAAGCAAATATCTTGGAAATCTTAGTCGACTGTACCTCGACTCGACAATTGCAAATCTCAACTTGGCTGACTTCCAACAGTTTGCTTTGTGCAGCGTGTGTTAGTGTAGTGGTAAATTACTGAGCATATGTGCAATTGAGAGCACACACATACATATGCACATGTGCTGTGTCGACTATCCATGCTCGACAAATGCCTTTAGATATTGAGGATACATAGTCAAACAAAGTAATTGGATATTAGACTTTTATTTGATAAATTTCACCATGACATACGAGTAATTACTTTTGCACAAATGTGATGCAAAAAAAAAAAAAAAAAAAAAAAAAAAAAAAAAAAAAAAAAAAAAAAACTGAAAACTTTTATAACAATTGTGGTCGATACAAAGGACTCGAATTAACATAGAATTGATACTAAATAAATTTTATTATATTATAGGAATAACCCTTTTGAAATTTGAGACGTGATCGATTTTAAATTCATCGTTAAAGTCATCTCTCTCTCTCTCTCTCTATTTGATTATGTATAAGTTTGATCAAGTGTGAAAAATATATTTCATTTATTATTTCATATTTAAATGAAAATAGAAAAAAAATTGACTTTTTCTTTGCATAAAAAGTGAATACACTTTTTTCGTATTCATGTTTCGCGCATACGATTCCTGTCACATTTGCAACATTTCCAAGCCAGTGAATGCTTTATGTTTAAATTATCAAAATAACCACATTTGCATCCCTGATTTTATTATAGAAATTATTTTGAATTTAAATTGACAACTTAAGTTCGATGAAACGTGGCGTATACGTAATTAATACAAGTGAAATATAAACGTTTGTGCTCGCAAAGCAAATATTTAGTTTTCTTTTTTAGTTGTTTATTTTCACTGTTATAATGACTGTAAATTGAATATGGTAATTCAAGTTGCCAGCTATCCGAAATTTGTATTAATTAAATAGCATCGAACGTAAGCAATTAGTTGCATATGCATCAACAAATCTGTTAAAATGTCACTCAAGTCCAAAAAAGAAGAGTTGCAAATGAAAGTTTGTTTAAAGCTTTTCATGATTTTTGTAAAAATATATATGTAAATTGCTTCCTTATTTACTTACATACATATATTTAAGTACATATATATTAATTATTCATATATTGTATTTTTGAGAGCGTTTTTCACATGAATGCCTCACCCACAACTCCCCGTCTGCAAATTCCAATGAACGCATCACAATCGTGTTTTTCTGCTGGTGAACATTTTTTCCGAATTATTTTTAATGGCTTTTGCTGTTTATTTTTTGCATTTTTCATCATCCAAAAAGACGAATTCCGGAGCAAGTTGGCCTGCGAGAATGACAACATGCCGCTGATGTGCAATCCATACTCACGCATCGCCATCTACAGTGCTTCCTTTGGCCACACGGAGCGAGAGACTGTGCAGTGCGGTGGCCCGGGGACGCCGCCCGGCACCGTGCGGATCAATCGGGAGGAGAATAGCCAGCCCAGTAAGCAGCAGCCGCAAAAGCCATACATGAGTTCATTGATCCAGTTTTTCATATTTACCAGCCTGCCTTGTGTCCTATGCCACCGAGACTGTCATGCAAATCTGTCATGGACGGCGACGCTGCTCGGTGGCCGCGGACGCCGGCACCTTTGGTCGTCCCTGCAAGGCCGATGTGCGCATGTATCTGAAAGTCGTTTACACATGCAGTAAGTCTTTAGTCCTCACATTAAATTGAACTGTCAGCTAATTCACACTTTTTCGCAGTACCCCGCAAAGTGCTCAAGGATCGCTATGAGACAGCTGCGGAGGCGGACGAGCCGCAGCAAACAGACTTGGACATGGACCAAGATGAACTATATGACGAGGATCAGTTCTACAAGGAGTCGGAGGCGATCCCACCGGCACCCAAACTGCAGGGGGCCAACGTGGGTCGTTCCTTTGACTTTGACACCAACAACGTTGGAGAAGAGGCAACGAGCACACTTCTGCCCCCATTGCTATCGCGCAACGATGGCTCGTTAGAAGGTAAGTGATTGGGGAGCGCAAGGTCATACAGAGACTCGCAGAGATTTCAGGAATCGGTGCCTGGGGCGAACTATAGGTCCATAATTTGATTTCACTTTGCGTGCTCGTATCACTTTTTAATGGAGTCTGTCGCATCGGTATGTGCCATGCCGTTCAGTTGCTGCAAAGTGCCTCCCCAGCGCATGGCGCATACATATTTTAAGAGCATGCCCATCCGTCTTCATTAGCCAGCTGAGTTACTGGCGTTTGAGCCAAACGCTAGTACGGCTCGCATCCATCCAAGCCGTGCATTATCTATAGTAACATTAAGTAACGTCAAATCATGTTTGCTGACGACGTTGCGCCCGGGAAATTCCCGTTTGCCCCTGATGGATGCGAGTCCGCCAGAGCTGTCAGAGCTTTCGCCAAAAAATGAAAAAAAAAAAAAAATCGTACACAAAATATGTGCTCACCCAATGGCATATTTCGCAGAGCGTCTGCAGGCATCAGTGCGACTGTTGAACCGCATAAAAATGTCATTCAACAAGCAATTGGTAACTGAGTCGGCTACAACCACAACAGTGGCCAGTGAGCACATCAGCACAACCGCTGAGGGGGCTTCAATTATAGATAATGAGGATAGCACCATTGAGCTGGCGACCGAAGGCTCGGACATCGGTGCCGGGAACGGGACCGCCAATACAAAATGGAGCTATGAGAAGGGCAACTACTTCTATCGCCGCAAGTGCCAGATGGTGGATGATTGGGGTACAATAGGTTTGAACTGCACCGAGGAGGACATCGTCACTGAACGTGTCGAAGTGGTTGGTTTCTTGGCAAATTGGCTGCACACCTATCTGCACATTCGAAGTGAGTTCGAGATCCTGTCCTCTTATGCTATCCCTAGCATGCCGTTCGTACAGTTAAGGCTTTCATGTGTAACTAATCGAAGTTTTTGTTCGCTTACACATACACACACACATAAAGTCACATTCACCGGCACACAAGTTCGCTGACTAAAAGAACAACAACAGCTATGTCACGTCTCGCAGCACTGCAGACGGTGTTCGACAAAAAAAATATATATATGTATATATATTTATATATGTATATATAAACATACATATATATACGTCTTCCCGCTGTACCATTTCCATGTCTCAAAAAGCAACTCTGCTGTCAGCTCAGCGTCTGTCATCAACAGAGCCAAAGAGAGGGCAACAGCGTTTGGGCTGTGACAGCGGCTGCGGCTGCAGTTGCGGCAGTGGCTGCGGTAGCCAACACAAAGTTGCATGTGCTGCACGTTGCACCCAGCTCGTTGCTTGCCACATGGTAAAGTTTTTGATTTCGTTTTACTCATAAACAAAGTCGCCCGATTAAAAGTTTAGCTCACTACTTTCCGCCCACGCAAATGCAGACAACGCGTTGACGAGCACACAAAGTCAGTGAAGATCAGCCATGTGGAAAACTCATCATGCTGCTCCGCCAGGCTTACACTAACTATGTACAGGCTACGATGCGCCGTTCGGCTGTTGTTGCTGTACGGAAATTAGGAATTTATATACCAAGCCTCAAAATAAGTTATTTACATTACTTTTTGCTTTTGCTTTTTCTCTTTGCCTTTGCCTTTGCCTCTGTCGCTCACTTTGGCATGCAGAGCACCAGGAACAGTTTTACCTGTATCTAATCATATCGGTGACAGCGGGCGTTCTCCTGTGCCTAACGCTTGTCATCGGCCGACTCACCCTGCAGCGTCGAGGCAGCCGTTTGAAGAGGAGCTCCAGTGTCAGTGGCGTGGCGAAAAACTTTGCTGAAACTCCAATCGATGGCACAAGTGGAAGCGGCGCTGCTGGCGGAGGGGCCGGCAGTAATTTCCAACAGATGGCAACAGGTGAAACCCATCTGGGCGACACTTTCGGTGACGACATCTCCGACATCGATGTCGACGTTGACTTAACAGCTCCGATGCCATTGTCTAGTCTATCATCACGGAACGAGGTGAGTTGCAATTGGAATTGCTTAACAAAGCATGGCATGGCCATGATTTTCGAAAATCCTCATGCAGATTTGGGCATGAGTAGTGTGAAATAAGGTTCAACTCGGGTTTAGCTTAGTCGGGTGCTCTACTGTTTAGACGTGCAATTACAGCTAGCTAAGCATACGGTAATTAGTTAAATCACCTTTCAATAGCTGCGAGGAGCTCTACGAAACTCTATTCTACTCGACTCTTTTCTGCTCCAGCCCCGAGGTAGTGGCCTGGTCATTACCTGTAGTCATTACCTAAGGTAAATAAACATCTCTAAATATGGAAATTTCATTGTTCTTGCTTAAGCCAACAATAGACAACGAGGGCGCATCAAAAGCAACGGGCCTGTTGTGGTTCTGTTGAAAGGAAATGAGAGGAAACGGGCACCAGGGAAGTTCCCTTGCCATTTAACCCATTTTGGGCCAAACAAAAGCGAGGAGTCTTTAAATCGCCTTCTGCCCAAACCCTAAACACCCGACACGCAGCCCCCTTGTCTTTCAACTCCCACCTACGTTGGGGAAAATGCTAGTAGCCTTGCTCCGAATGCTCGTTGCAACAATTTTTGTACTTTTTGTTGTTTATTTCATGGGATCTGGGCAGCAACAAAACCATTGCCGCCTTATACAAGCATAAGTACTATGTATATATATCCCGAATATATGTATATACACACGTATATATGCATAATGGTGAAAGCATGGTTTGTCGGACTGTGTTGAAGGGTTGAAAATGAAAATTACTGCACCTGTACAGCTTGGACAGCCGCCTGAGGGACTTTTCCACATAAAAGATGAAAATACCAAATACAAGCTCAAATGCAAAGATGTTTGTAACAATACAGAGCCGTCGATTTCATGTACCGTCTGTAGATTATTTTTAAGTCGGTTTGATTGAAAGAAGTTTACACAAGCTCAACCATATGTACACGAACTTAAATCGACGGACAATAAACAATTTAAAAGATGAAAGATGGACGAGTCCTTGAACAAATACCTATGTAGCTACTAGCTAGAGTATTCACATTTATGAAATGCAACTCAAGGAATTATTTTGATTTAAGAACATTTACTCAACCTGAACTGCGCACTCTGATTAACTTAATATGAAGATTTAAAATGCAGAAAGCTGTGTGCAGCAAGCAGTGAGGGCCACTATGGTTACATATTTGCTCGTATGCTACGTGTATTTTTCTGAGGGCCACCGATTGGGGGCGGCGAGCAAGGTGAGCAAGGTGAACACGGTGAGCCAGGTATCTGGTGTCTGGGCCTGCGTCATTTTCAATTGCAGGAATAAATGAGCAGCAGCTTAACTTTACTTTACTGTGCTCTGCCCTTTCATATCCTTTGTCGTCACCGTCAACAACTCGGCATCTCATCTGCATGCGGCACAAAATGGCATTCGCAACCGTCGGGCATGGGCCAAACAAACAAAAGACCTCCTACATGACATACGCACCAACGCCCAACTGTAGCTACGCTGGCTTAACAGGCGCTCAACCACATTCGCATCCACTGCCAGCGCCACATCCACATCCACATCCATCCTCTACGGCAACCAGTGTGCTGATGGCACCGCACACGCAGCCCAACATTTACACCAGCATGGGCCATCCAGCTGTGAGCGGAGCAATGACCATAGGTAAGTAGCACAGAGTGTAGTGAATATTTATATTAAAGAGAATGCCGTTAACTGCGATGCATAATTAAATACGTAATTAAAGTGAAATTAATGTTCATTTGTTACATATAAATTTGTCGTATTAATATATAATCGCCGTTCCCATAATATCCATATCTATATACATATACATATATATATGCGTCTCTTCACAGGTCCTCACATGCTGGGCCCCTCAAGCTTGGGCGGCGTATCGCCAGCTTATCTGAGTGGCACCATCATGGTGCCCGGACACCAGCACACGCACGGCGGCACCCTGCGTCGCACTCTAATACCAACCAGCATGGGTCTGATGAGTGCGCCCTCGCCGCCGCCGGCGATGCTGGGCACTGGAGGCGGCATGACGCTGCCGCCGCACTCGATGCCCGCCACCAGCGGCAGCGGCGTCTACTACGATAGCACAGTGCCACGCAGTCTGGCGCGCGGCATGTCTACGGAGAGCGGCGGGCAGTATTTCCTGGGATGACACTCGCTCAACCGCAAGGCTTCACTGCCCGTCGCCATTGCGGTGCGGCCTCAGCCGCACTTGAACTTTAACATGCTGCCAATGTCGGCGACTGTGGGCTTGGGCTCACCCTTGGTGACGGAGTCCAGTGGCAGCCGAGCGGGCACGCCCACCAATGCTAATGGTAACAAAACGGATATACCAGCAATCACAGTGACGGCCTCGCCGGGGCCGGCTTCCATTCTGCTGGGCAACATGAAACCGCCGAATTCTGGCACTGACACTCGTGCGACTACGCCCACCGGTAACAGCGGCATGCCAATGTCCTCGTCTGGACGAAGCCAATGTTTCTAGGATCAGTTTAACAGTTCAGCAATCGATTTCAATTGTCTCTCTGAAACTGATCGGAGTCAAGGACCAGTGGACGAAGATCTATTCTACTTGTAAATAGCATAAAGACTCAATTGTCGCCCTGTTTTCCAATTCAAGTTAGTAAAATTCGAAATAACAATTTAAGCATATTTCTGCGATTAACCATAAATGAAGACGTTCAGAGGCTACCCTGTAATCATAACCAAATCAAATTACCTTCAAAGGGCTAGAATAGGCATGGATACTCGATACACGAACTCGTGCAACCGAGCGTTTCCAATCGTTTTAATGCATCTAGAAAATTCAACATATTTAGCATCAATTTTAATGCCATTGAACAAAACGTATATTGAAGTCTCTCAAATACATTGGTATACTTAGAGTAATACAGTTTATAAATATAAATATAAATATATATATATGATACTCATCTTTCATGAATTTCTAGTCTTAAGCGCATGAGATTACATTAAGAGCATGAGATTAATTTTATTTGCCTTAAAGCCAAAAGTGGTAAATTATAGAAAAACCCAGAAAATACTAAAAATTTGTATATCTCAAGTCTAAAGTAATCAAAGTTACAAAGTAGAACAACATCAAAACAGTAATTCAATATACGAATTCTACAATCCGAATAGCTAAACTCTGCAATGTCAGCGCAATAGAGTTACATAGAGTATAAAGAAGAAGAACAAATACTTTATATATGTATAAACTTTTGACTAAGAGATGATTTAATTTATTAATCCGCCGAAAAGGAAACATTATTCCGTTACTTATCATTCATAATAATAAAGCAGGCTAGAAGGAATCTTTGAGATTCATGAGAGCCGCAACAGATGTATTTGGCAAATTTAATCGAGCGTCAGGTTTCAAAGACCCAAAGCTGATTTTCTAGATAAATATGTGCTTCAAGGCAAGTGCACAATAAATACATCAATTACTACAAAAACAAAATATCCGTTCACATAATGAATGTGCTATCAATGTTAAATATAATCGTTCATAGTGAATCGTAACACATACCAGGATAAATAGTTGAGAAACTTTAGAGATTGTTAAACGTACACAAACACAAACACACACATACCCAAGAGCGCCAAATAACTGCGTCTCATTGCATTGGAGATGGAATTGTTTCCCATTCAGTCCAAAACCAATTTAATTTATTGTTTATAGTTGCATAGATGCAAGAGCAAAACACTATCTTAGATATGCTCAATGGCAGACCAGATCAAATATTGTTTAATAAACCAAATGGGATTATTCAGTTCGTAAAACAACAAATTGAAACCAATTGTCAACAACTTTGTTATAAATCGTTTATAATTTTTGGGGTTAAGATGTGAAACAGGGTAATAAACGAATATACGTATTATTATTAAATAAATTATCTGTGTTCTTGATACGGTGAGTATGTGTCGGATGTAGATGGCGTCAATCGAATCCAATACTCAAATCGAATCATAGAAAAGTGATTGGCAAATATGAGTGAGTATATTGGTGTTTGGGTATGTCCATCTGCCTGTGTGAGTGAGCACAGAGCAATTCGCCGCAATTGAAGGTAGAAAATTGAAATATGAAGCACATGCTGCTGTGATTGCTACTCTCGACTCCACCAGTGACGTGGCAAAACAAAAACAAAAATTGTTTTTTTTTAAATACCAGGTAAAGCGAAAATAAAGCTGTAGATGTATGGGCAGAGTGTGGAATTTAAGCTATGGCAGACAGCCGCATCTAAAAATATATAAAAGAGCGAGTCAGAGACGTGCAGCTCGAATTGAATACACATGATGAATGATTCCGACGAAAAAATATAAAGGCGATTACTATGTCCCTTGACATAGTAGAAGCTAAGAGCCAGCTAAACATTTTACAGCTGAAATACTACTATCGGATAAGGCAATAGAATCCTATATTTTCCAGCTATCCACAAATAGACCAACAACAAATATCTTGCTTTTTTAATTAAGTGAACCCTTTGTGGATTGCTCATTCTCATTCAATTCATAATTCCATCTGCTGCAGCATTTCTCTCTTAACGACTCGGAGTAGAGCAACAAAATATATGTAGATACCGATTGGCTGCATGACGAATAATAATACGAAATAAAAGGTTCGTTTTGTGCCTGACTCGTCTGGATGTCTAATGGACTGCAATTGATTATGTCTGTCTATAATGATGAAGCAGCTCGACCAAACAATAAGTATGCCAAGTGATTGACTGCTCTCGTTATGAAAATGTATTCACGAGCATTTTCTTTGTTGGCAGTGGCACGGCCAAAGTTAAGGGTAATGACGACGTACCAAAACCCGCCCAACCATCCTGCCACCCAGCCACCTATTTGGCAATAAGTTGTTAATGGCTCTGCGGCACAAGTGGACGATCCTTGTAAGTATATTGAGGGAAAACTTCACCATTTGCAGCACTAGCACAGGGCTAATTATGATAAGTGGCTGCAAATAGTTGTCGCTGACAGCCGGAGCAATTTGGACTAACGTTGCCAGCAGTGACCGAGCTATCTTTCCACGAACTGTGAATCACGAACAGACGCTAGAAGGAGATTCCCTGAGAGGCTGGCACCAGTCGACCAGCGACGCAAACAAAAGTTTTTCAATTAAAAACGTTAAATAGCCACAAGCACTTAGCAATAAATTCCTGCTGCGTATGGAGTGGAGTCGACAATAAAACACCTAATGAAACGCCATTGCCTAAAAACAACAATAATTATAAGTCGAAATTGAAAAGCATAGCTGTACTTATAAACAAGGCTCTTAAATTACATGCAATCTATGTTGGCAGAAAGAATTTCTTATATATTCCGCTCTCTCTCTCTCTCTCTCTCTCTCTGAAATTAGAGCCCATCGTAAATACATACATATGTTTATATATATGTACTGTGTCTATTTCGTATATAGATTATAATATATTGTATGCTCAGAGTTTGATTCAGCGAACAGCGGGGCGTATACGGGTTTTATGCAACAATTTAATGAATCCGCTGTTTAAATGCTGACAAAACCATAAAACAAGATTTGAATGGCCAGCAATAACAGCATTCACAACAACAATTGATATATCTGCACATATTTTTATACACATGTATATGCGCGCAGATAGAGATATATGTATGCTATATGGCAGCTACATTCAGAGGCGTAGCAAGGACTTGCTGTAGGGGTAAAAGGAAAAAATATTCAATTTATTATTGCTTTCAAAGCGTATTGATTTTATGCGGATATGGCTTTGTTCGCCAAATATTAAATGCCAAATAAAAATCAACTTTATGGTGTTTTACAGCTATATTTTCTTTTGCGAAAAACAGACAACAACTCTACAAAAAAAGAAATCGAACTCCGCCTTATATTTGGGTAATGAAAGTTTATCAAGTTTTTTAACGGCTAGGTCGAAAGATACGCTGATTAAAATAAATAGTTTTTCTGTGTGAGCTCGACGCGGATATGAATAAATTTATTGTAAAATTTTTCAAACGAGAATTCGCATAGCGACGCTCCTGCAAATATTCATGCCAGTAAGTATATTTGCGAAACAACCGCTCGGCTCAGTGGGCGCGCACCGCCCATTGGGCATGTACAATGATTTTCCGTAATATTTCGTGTTGCGTTAAATCGTTAAATGAAAAACCAAAAATGTGTTAAAGCGTCCAGCTTCTAACTTGGGCCGCACATATGTATATTCCTAAAAATGTTTGCTCTCCAAATTGGTTCATTGCTCGGGCGAAATGTGAATGTGCTCGCAGGCATTACTAATTATGGCAATGAACGTGGAAGCGAAGCACCAGAAGAGTATTACTATTTGGTATGAAACGTCAAGGTCCTATTTACCAATTTTGAGGTAATCAGTGAAATGCCGAAAAATTTCAGGAAAAATACTATTATGAACAAATTGATGTGTTGCATCGAATCGAAACCATTCACAACTTGTAAAATGAATTTCATGGCACGTTAACAAAATACATAGAATTTCATAAATAATATAAAAATAGTCAGTGAAATGGCAGAAAATTCCATTAAATCATATTACCTATTTTTTAAATGTTTATATCCTGTAAAGTTCAGTTCATGGCACGTTTACAAAATATATATAATATTATAATTGTTTCATCGTTAACAGCGTTTAAAAACATGCAACATTTTATAATTATTTTATAAACTAACTTCTTTATTGATTCTCGAAGAGCAACAACTGTTTTGAGCACCAGTTTTATAATTTATGCACAAAGAGTTATATAATTAAATTAGTTTAGATACCGTAATGTGTGGAAGTGAAGGTTTCATCATGCTGTCCGACCCTTGACCTATGCTGCTTGGTCAAACGCCACCAAAAATACCCACATAATATGTATATACATACATACATATACATATATACAGTATATACGTAATTTAGTTGGTTTCGCCTTGTTTAAGTCTGCTGCTGCCTCTGCTGCTGCAAATGAAAGGCTAGCAAAATTGTAAGCGACTGACAGGTCGGCTTATTCATGTATAGGGCAGCAAATGCATCTCAACTATCTCATTATGCTTGTATTTCAAAGATCACGACTTGGCCAATTTCGAAATCAGGTGGCAAAACGAGAAATTTCCCATTGATACGAATGAATAATTCATTTGGTAGGTCAATAAAATCGCATTTGATATGAACTGTTTTATGTGTTAAGCACCGCCAAGGGTATATCATCATCGGTGTGTTATAATTTATTTAATTTGAGGCATCCTGCACGTTCCTGTTGCTGCCCACAGCTCCCTTATATATGTATGCTTCTTTCTCGTTTTTTTACAAATTGTTTTAGATTCTCTGCACGTTCCCAACGACGCTTTTCAGCTTCAGCACCAGCACATTGCATGCTGTGCTGCAATAGCGAATCCGAATGCGCAAACTCCCACCTGAGTCCCAATTCATTGGAAGCCCAGCGCTGCCCGCACTCACGTCTGCATCCCGCCCCAGCCCACAGTAATTGGCGAAGTCACTACCGCTGCTATTCCTGTTCACGCCCACGACGTTGCCAGTGCCAGTGCTAGTGCCAGAGTCAGCGCCATCGCCATCGCCATCGCCATCGCCATCGCCATCGCCAGCTTCAGCGCCAGGACCAAGAAGCGAGCCACCAAAAACGCTGATTCAGGTCATTGTATGTAAAAATTAATGGAACATTTTCCAGCAACGAGAATTTCATCTTTTCTTTTCACGTATTTGTACACGGCAGCTTGTCCGTATTTTCCGTACAGCTCCTGTTCGCCAATCACTTTTTGCTACCAATTTGCGTTAGTTCGCCTGAAAAGTTTCATTTATTTCATTTGTAAGTCAGAGCTCTAAGCGAACATCAACCCGTTAAAGGTTATACTCGCAGCCAAAAGAAAAGAAACTATTGTTTCTATGAATCATAAAGTGGTACAAAAAAGTTATGTTTACATACATGCACATACACATGCATATGAATATACATATGCATACATGTATGTAGTGGCTTCGTTAAGGCTCAGCGAGAGCTTTAAGCTTCACTCAACTTTCTGGGGAAACCGCAAAATTTTGATTTCATCCTTTAACTCGTTCACATTGAAAGAGATAGACAGAGAGAGGGAGAGAGAGAGAGAACAATTTATATTAATAGGCATTAGCGGCGGCTTTCAAAAACTGAGCGCCAACAATTGCATATATGCAAGCTATTTAAGCCCTCATTAAGTCAGAAAAAGTTTCTCAAATATTTCAACTATTTTACGACGCCTAAGCACCGGCATCGGCGCATAGGCCGCGAAGGGCCTAAGGCCCAGGGGGTGCCGGAGGGGCCGGAAGGGCCAAAGGGACGTGGCGGATGAGGTGAATGAGGTGGACGCGTGAAACGCTTGACGGTGTCCTTATGGAATTTATGCAGCTCGTGATGGCCTTATGCTGAAAGTTTCGCCATCGCCTGAGTCATGCCCCGGCAGCAGCCTCGCCAGAGAATTGGCGAGGTAATGCTGTTATCTGTTTGTGTGTGGGCCAGAGATGTGGGCACAGCCTGGCGTGTCTGTTGGTAAATGCTCTTTAACTTATTACAGGCGCAGCTGCTTGAGCTTCGTTATGCCAATCATTTCTATTCCGCACTCGAGTGCGTTGCCAGCCGTCAAAGCTAAACAGTTTACTGCTTAAGCCCGCACAACTATCAAAAGGCGTCGTGCATTAAAGCCAATACCATCTGACACTTGTCTGCAAACTTCGATTGAGTGAAACGGCGGTATTAAATGATAGGATAGATACGTATCGAATTGGTAGCAATTACGCTAGCAGCGGATTTAACTTTCTTAAGATGAGAATTTGAACGTTTGCATTTTAATGCTGCTCGCTGTGCGCTGCTCGATGCATGCTGCATGCTGCATGTTGCCTGCTCTGCTGTGATAATGGGTATTTCATTTAAACTAGCGCTCAAGCACTTCCCTGGAGCGGACATTCCCATAGCATAAAATATGCTGGCTGGCTGGCAGTTCGCATCCGCCACCCAGGCCAACCACGGCCAATGTGCGCTTATGCCCCTTTAAGCCCTTGTTACTCCGATGGCAAAGGCGCCTTTAAAATTCCATGACCCTAATTTTTTCGGAAGCAACTGCAACATTTGAAAAACTGCAATTAGGCTGTAACATGTCGTTGGTGGGGCCGGTGGGGGGAAATTGTTGGGTGGCAGTCGGCCAGCTGGCGTGTTTAGGGTGATAGGGTGCGTCTGCTTTTGGGTTAAGCACATGTTATGTTACAGTTACAGCGACTCAGTCACCTTATACTTCGCACAGAGCACGCTTAACGAGCAGCGCGGTCGGGCCGGCGCGGGCGGTCACAACTGAAATGAGACTAGTCGTAGCCTGGCCTGGTCTGGTCTGGCTTGGCTTGGCTTGGCGCTGGCTTGCCTTGGCGTTGGCTTCGTGCCACCAGCTGCCGCAGCAGCGCCAACTGCAGCAGGCAGCTGGATGGATGCAGCAATTCAAACACAGGTGCAGGCGTTGCCAGTGTCACCATTTCAACCATCTCCGGCTCTATGCTGCTTTTTGCTTTAGATACGAACGTGTGTGTAAGTGTGTGTAAGAGAGTATGTGTATATGTGTGTGTGTGTGTGCTTTGCTGGCTACCCGCAGATGCTGTGCATGCATGACAAATATAATTGCAACACTTTGTGGACTTGTTTGAAGTGAGAAGAATTTTGACACCATTTCGCTCTAAGGACGCATTTCTTTGCATCTTTAACTTAATTTGCTGTCCCCGGAGTTTTTAATTAAAGCCAAATGCTTTGTCTGCCAAAGTTTGTGGTTACATTCAACAAACGAGCCAAGAACCTTGCCGTCTGCTTCAGTTTACAGCTCAAACCAACTACTTTGAGGTTCAGCTTTAGAAACTAGAATTCGCTTCGGGTTTCTTTGCTTTCACTAGTGCTTGATGTTGTTGTTGTTGGCTGAGTCATCTTACAATCTATTCAGGTCAACAGGAAAATTCGCTCAAGCAGTTCCTTTTCATTAACTTCCATTTGTTTCACACACAAGTATATATATGTATGTACATATACGAGTATATTATTTCTTTAATTTGAATGAGATATCAGAGCTTTAGTCAGTTAGGCTGTATATGTAGATGTATCAAAGCCATTGCCCAGCATTTGCTGATCAATCCAATCACGCGCTAATGCGACATTGGCGTAGGCAGCGGGCACCTCATCATTGCATCCAATGCCCCAGGCAACAATGCCGTTTTGCTGATAGCGATTGTCCGACGATAATCCGATTGGGCATGCGAGCGGCGCACCGCCATCGCCTTGACAGGTGTCGACACCTCGCTGGCCACCAGCACACATGAACGAGCGATCCAAGGCGAATCTGGGACCGAGTCGCGTGCTACGCAGCCGTGATTGGCAGCTGTTGAAGTCGACAACGGGCAGCGGGACGCGCTTCATTATAACGCTGTACTTTCCAGCGGCACCAAAGACATCCTTGCCCCAGCCGGTGGAGTAGCAGGTGGTGCCAGCCGTACTGCTAGCGCCCTGGGGGGGCAGACACACCACATTGATGTGATCCGCCAGTGTGAATGGCTGTGAGAGTATAACCAGCGCAAAGTCATTCGCAACATTCCGGATGTTGAATTGAGGATGCAAAATAATTTGCTTGGCCGTTTGTTCCTGGTATGGCAGACGCTCTCTGGTTGTCTGTGCGTCCCATTCACCTGCGCGGATCAGGAATGAGCCTGGGGCATGCGGGAGTAGGCAGTGCACTGCAGTCAGCACCACCTGCGGGTGGATGAGTGAGCCACCACAAAAGTAGCTAAAATTGTTGGCATGTAGCAGCGCAACAGTCCAGGGGAACTCGCCAAATCCGGCCTCATTCTGTGTTGCACCGGTCAATGTGAAATCCAATCCGCCGACATTGCGAATGCCACAGCCGCGTGGCTGATTTGGCCGCTTCTCCAAAGGCGTTGGATTTAGGACCTGTTCGCGTGTGCGATTGCCAGCGCAGCAAACGTCCACAGAGGAGGGACAAACAGGATCATCATCGCCAAAGCGAATGTCAATGACACCAAAGCCATCGAATGCGCCGTCCTCGGTGATGCTGTTCGTCGACGGATCGCACATATAGTAGGGTACGCAATTGCAATTGGACGTCTTTCCACTGATCGAAGTGAAGTCAATCAACGGATTTGAGGCGCCAATAGGAACTGGTGTAACCACCTCAGCAAACCCGCCGCGTGCCGGTGGTAGACTTGGGTTCGTATTGAAGATATCCTGAATGTTTCTCTCCACATTTGAGGACTGCTGGGGAGCGGCGAAGACAGAAGAGCAGCTGATAATGGCTAGAACAGCCCATGCGAGATTCTGGCGTAGACCCATCCTGTTTGCAATTAGAAAAACTTGTTAATCTAGTTTTGGCTTGAGAAGGTCAACATTTCAAAACATACTTTGAAAGAAGACCTGATAAGGTCCAAACTAATTTTTCATAATACAAGAATTCTTATCAAATTTCAATACACGACAAAGCAAAAATAAAATTAAATACACATTTACACAGAGATTATATGATGATGCTAAACATTTGTAATTGGAACCTGTAGAGCATGTTTGACTTGTTTATATCGCATTTGAAATAAATAGAACACAAAACATTTTTGTTTTGATTGAAAACTTTCATTCCTTACACGTTCCATTCTATGTAAACACACACACTTAACAGAAAAAAAAAAAAAACAATGCCTACACTTACGACTAAATCCGAGAGGGGAATTCCAACTAATTAATGACGTCAAGTTATATCACAGTCACTTACGGGCAATTCCTACTAGCGGAAATTTTTGCCAAAAAAGTTTAAAAACCTTTAGATACTCTTACTAACCTTCAGTTATGTAGTTTCGGTAACCTTGACTTTCGGTCGAAATGGCCAACCACAGCGGCTGATTAATGCGTTATTTCTATTTAATCTCTCTCTTGTGGGGGAAGCCAGACAAACTTTTAAGCCCGTATTCCAACCAGTTCCAAGAGCTCTGAACGCGAACGAATTTAATTCAAGACTACCTCCAAAAGCTTTGAGCCAGCCAGATACATGCGAACAAATGCACAGCGATGAGCTTTAAGGTGAAAGCTTTTAAGCGTCTTAGCTCTCCCTCTCTATCCCTCTCTGATTCTCTCTCTACCTCTCTGTCGCTGTCGCTCAACGCTTGACTCTGATAAGAGATAATCTGCAACTTACAATAAACAAGCAGCGAGCTCTCTTCACTGCGCTCGCTCAGTCACACATCGTGAGCACAATCCAGCTTGTGATCGGCCCATTAAAGAAACCGGTTTAAGGGGTTCATAGCACACGCATGCACGCACGCACACACACACACACGCACACACGCAAGGCAGCAGTTGTGGAATCTTCAATTGTGCATATGTCGGCCAAAATATGAATGCACTTCATATTTATTGTTCTTAAAACAGCTGATTGAATGTAAACAAGTATGAAAACAATTTAAATATAGAAAACCAACTGAATTCCAATATAATTAAATTATAAAATAAAATTACAAGTTACACGACGCATAAATTTGATGAAAAGCCATAAATTATGGAGGGGGTAGAAGGTAGAAGGCAGGACAGGTGTAATAGAATGGTGCGGAATATTTTAAGAGAAGCTTACAAAAGTTTATTTTTGTTTTTTTTTTTTTTTTTTTTTTTTTTTTGAATGGGAAAATAAAATATATACATATACATATATATTTTACCATTGTTATTTTT